AGGTTTTTTTTTGTTTTGTTTTGTTTTTAATGCATGGATTGATGATGACAAGGGTTCATGGATCAAGGATGATCAATCCAGTTGCATGCCCCTGAGGTCTAAATAAAGAAAACACACACACACACACACACACACACTATCTCAAGAGCCTACTATGACTGCAGGCAAGCTGTAAGCGGATTATTTCTAGTTTCATCATCATGGTAGCATCTACGTATATTTGAAAAAACTATAGGACATATGGGAGCTCTGGTAGCATAGTGGCTAAGGCACTTGACTGCTAACCAGAAGGCTGGCGGTTCAAATCCACCAGCCACTCCTCGGAAGGAAGGTTGGGCAATCCTACTTCCGTAGTGATACTGCCTCGGAAACCCAAGGAGGGGTCGCTATGAGTCAGGGCCGACTTGACAGCAAATAACAACAACAACAACATAGGACATATATTGTAAGGCCTATTATTATTTGGTTTATAGATAATATACCTTAATGAATGAATGGATTCAAGAATCCCTTGAAGTAACTTTCCAGTCTAACACACACACACACACACACACACACACACGCATACACACACACACCACCAAGATTGGTTAAATGGGAAGAGAGCCTTGGCCCAGGGGACAGAGACCTTGGCTTTTAGTAGTGACTCACTGAGCCCAGGATGGAGTATCCAGATGGGTTTTGGGGACTGGTTAGTGAACAGGACCAGCCCGGCTCTCAGGATGGTAGTTGTTGCTGTTGTTATATGCCGTCGAGTCAGGCCCAACTCATAGCGACTCCTCCTTAGGTTTCCGAGGCGGTATCACTAAGGAAGTAGATTGCCAACCTTCCTTCTAAGGAGTGGCTGGTGGGTTTGAACGCCAGCCTTCTGGTTAGCAATCAAGTGCCTTAGGCACTACGCTACCAGAGCTCCCAGGATGGTAGTGGGGGTAAAAAAAAAACAAAACCCAGTTACCTTAGCTGAGTGGATTCCAATTCATGGTGACCCCACATGTATGAGAGTAGAACTATGCTCCATGCTCTGCTGTTGTTAGATACCACTGAGTCAATTCCAACTCATAATGGCTTCATATGACAGAGTAGAACTGCCCTATAGGGTTCTCTTGGCTGTAATCTTTACAGAAGCAGTTCACCATGTCTTTCTTCCATGGACCTGCTGGACAGGTTCAAACTGCCAACCTTTTGGTTAGCAAAGGATTTTTGGTGGCTGCTTTTTGGAAGCAGACTGCCAGGCCTTTCTTCCAAGGCAGCTCTGGGTGAATTTGAACTGCCAACCTTTCAATTAGCAGCTGAGTACTTAACCATTTGTGCCATCCTGGAACTCTGCTAACAGAGGAGATGGCCAAAACCCCAGCAATCTCTGTGTGACACAGAGCAGCCTTCAACATATGGAGGCACTGAGGAGGGCCAGCCAACAGGCAGGTCAGAGGATGTGATGGCAGAGTTGAATTCTGAAGGATGAGTTGGTGTCAGCTAGCCTAACTGGCGTGAGGAGCCATACTGGCTCATGTACAGCATATGCGATGGAGCATAGGTATCAATGGCTCCAGGGAATGACAAGCAGTTCAGAAGGGCATCTCAAGCTGAGCAGGAAGGAGAGGAATGGGGCTAGATCATCATTAAGAACTCTTTGCAATGCCATAGGGCTGGATTCTATTCTGAGGCAATGGAGAGCCACTCTTGTGGGAAGTGACATGACCGTAATTGTACCTTAGAAAAATCACTTCATCTGCCATGTGGAGGAGACAGGGAACCCAGTCAGGGGATGCTGCAGAGATGGTGATGGCCTTGAGGGCTGGGAGGGGGGAACATTCCTTCTCAGTGCTGGGCATCCACTGGCACATCAGTAAAATGCGAATGTGTGATGGGATGATCTCTGAGGCCCCTTCGAGATGCCACAGCCTGGTCCTATGGTTTGACATGAAGACACTAGTGGAGCAGGAGCAGTGTCTGGCCTGGAGGCACTGTTCCCAGTACCACAGGGCAAGGTGGATGCCTTCAAGCCCCTTGCGAGCCTCTGTGCCCTCAGCAGCTTCATCATAACTCCCACAAGCCCCATGGTTTACTACTACCTCTGCAAACTCCGTCTTCCCTCTGACCCAGGACAGCCCCTCAGAGGTGCAAATGTCCCCTTCAGGCATGATTTACAGCTGATACTTGAGGAGTGGGGATGGGGAAGAGAGAGGAGGGAGAATGTGATCTTGTGAAGATGCATACTGTGTGACACTGTGTTTCTTTTTAGCTGTGCATGCCTGTTCCATGCCACATAGCAGACTATACCCTGGGAAAGCATGGGGTGTGTCTGAACTTGTCTGGGACTGTCTACTGACACTGCAGCTGAGACCAGAGGTGGGCCAAGGGGTGAGATGCAGGGCTCTAGAGGCACCTGCTCGCCCCACACTGCTACACACAGTTGTCTTCCGCGGCACCTATTGCACTTCCCTGCACTTATTTGCTAACCTGTCCTCACACCCCTGGGGACACACAAACTGTCACAAATACTTCTTCAGTTCCTAGCCTGGCTGGCTTTAATCAAACTAAAGAAAGTGTTGGTTCTTTCCAATTTCTTCCTCATTTTCCTATCTGCAAACGCTAAAGTGAGCTATAAAATCAATTTGTTCCAAAGTTGCTATGTTTTTTCAGTTTCTCCTCTGCCCCATCTAGAATGACAATCGTGCCTATAATGAATCAGAGCTATGAAGAAATGGGCCTGCATCCTGGAAACCAGGGGACTTTGGGGTCTGTGGGTCTGTCCATTCAGGATGCAGAAGAGCTATGGGTTTTGCCACTGTAGTACTCACTTCCCAGAGGGACCTTTGGGTCTCTTCCAGTTAGGAGCAACCCAAGTCATCCAAGACAACCAACCCTTGCACTCTGCAGAAATGTGCATATGAGATGAGAAGTACTTGGCTTCTGGTCACTGGGAGCTCAACATCTCCTGAGATGACTGCTTTCTCTGGGCAGTGGCTCTGGTGACAAGCACATTAGTAACTCAACTTGGTTTGGCTTTGCTCTTTCACCTTGTGCTATAATCTGACATGTGAAGGGGCCCTCTTTCATGCATGAAGGAGACTATTTCCCAGAGAAGACTGGCTGACCCAGACTCAAGTCTGGAGCCAGGGTTGGGACTCAACCTATCTCCCTGCTCCTGGCACTAGTGAGAGACCAAGGGGCCTTTGCCTCAACAGCTGCTCAGAGCAGTCAAAGGCTCTAACTATCCATTCAGGAGGCAGAGGACAGACCTGGCTAGATGGTCTGCACCTTGTAGCTGCCAGTCAGCAGGCCCTGGAGAGATTCCAGTGCTGAGCCCTGCCTCAATCTCCCCTCTCTCTCCCCTTTCCTCCCTCTCTCTCTGCCTGGACAGTGAAAACAGCATTAATATGGAAGCTGAAAGGAGCTCTAGTGGCGCATTAGTTAAACCATTCACATGCTAACCAAAAAGGTCTTCAATTGGAACCCACCAGCTGCTCCATGAGAGCAAGATGAAGCAATCTGCTTCCGTAAATATTTATAGCCTTGGAAACTTTATGGGGCAGTTCTACTCTGTCCTATAGGGTCACTATGAGTCAGAATCTACTCAATGGCAGTGAGTTTAATTTTGACTCCTGCTCAGGACATAGTGCTTGCTTAGAGTGGTCCCAAGTAAATACAACATTCCCTGGCAGCTTTGGTTCTCTGTGAAGGCTGGCTTAGGCAAGGGCAGATTACCTAACAAGCAAGGAAAGCGTAGGCTTACTTGTGCTTACTTATTAATCTATGTCCCTAGCATATATAACATATGCATACACACACACACACAAAAAAAAAACCCTTCCTGAACATTTTGCATTTCAGAACCAGAGACTCATAGCTAGGAAGGGTCTCTAAGACCATTCCACTGGTGGCAGGAGAGGGCAAGAGTCCTTCCAGAGAGGGGCAAGAGTCCTTCCTGAGGTAATATGGCAGATAGAGACAGAGGCAGGTCCAAAACGCAACCAGGAACTGGCATGCCATATCCTGGGCAGGTTCCCCAAACCGGAATCCACCCACTCAGCAGCCAGAGCAGCAGGCCCACCCAGGGCACTTTGAGGGTGCAGCTGGAAGGAATTACCAAGCAGGCAGTCCTGAGGAAAGCCTGGACAAATGCCATACCAAGAATTTTAGCTCTTCCACACCTGGTGTGGGCCTGATTTTTTCTCCCACTCATGTAGGAATCTGCTTCTGGTGGTCCTGCCCAGGCAAAGAGGAAGATTCACATGTTGGCACTTTTCACTTTACTTTCTGGTGCCCAGGGCAGTAAGAGTTGGATGTTAACAGTCCATTAGATAATTTCAGCCAGTTTCCCCCATCTCAATAATTAGTAGCATTAAAGACCCCCGCTTCCCCTCCTCTGTCACTCAAGTAGAGACTTGGTGTTATCCTTGCCTCCTGGCCCCTGTTCAAAGCCAACCACTACCATTCCTCACTCCAGTCTCTCCTCACCAAGTCTGGTTGTCCCTCCGAAATCTCTCTCCAAACATGAGCTTCTCTCCATCCCAGCGCCCACTGCCTGGGTCCAGTTGGCCCCATTCAGGCCTCTGTATGTCCTTATCACATCAGATGGCCTCCCTGCTTTCCTCCAGATTCTTCCTGTCTGTTTCCTTCCCAGAGGCCAACCGACCTGCACGTGGGCTCTCATCCTCACCTCTCTGCCCCACCCAGTGTCACTCAGGGAGAAAAAATCAGGCGGAGAGCCACCCAGCGCTGATTGGAGTCAGGGTCTCTCAGGGCAGCTGCATGTGTTCCTCCAGCGGGCAGGCACGCTTTGCTGTCCCCTGCAGCCCCGGGGCCTGCGATCCTCGAAGGGGGCGTTTGGCCACCTCAGGCCCAACTTCTCCATCCCTATCGTCCTCCTCCGGCCCTCGCGGGTAGGAAGGAGCCAGGGCCAGAGAAGACTGACGTTGGGGCAAGGCAGGGGGGGCTTGGGCTGGAAGCTGGGCCCCGCCGGGAGGAACCGTCCGGCCCCGCCCCCTGACGCCGCCATTGGCCGCGGCTGAGCGGGTGGAACTGCAGTTCCGAGCGCCCTTCGGCTCCTCTAGGGAGAAGGTCCCGACTTGGCAGCTTCGGGAGAGCTGGCGCGACGCCCAGAGGCTGCCCAGCAGGTCGGGACTGAGCCCACAGGGTCCAGAGCTCCTCGATCTCCCAGCTACTCACTCTCGCACCCGTTCCGTGGCCGTCTCGTGAGGCGCGCACTCACACTCCCTCTCCGCGCACGGCTCCGGGGCGCGATGGAAGCGACACTGCTTCAGAGCCTAGTGGAGGCGAACTGCAGCCTGGCGCTGGCCGAAGAACTGCTCTTGGACGGCTGGGGGCTGCCCCTGGACCCGGAGGGTAGGTAGGAGGCAGGCGAACAGGGGAGACGCGGACTCCTTTCCAGGCGCGCTCGTTGTGCGCAGGGACTCCGCGCTCCTTCTGCCCGGTGCCTTGCGTCCCGCGGCTCCCCGCGCCCCCTACGACCACTCTGACCCCCCACTCCGCTCTCTCCTTTCTCCAGGTCCCTACTCTTACTGCAACACGACCTTGGATCAGATCGGGACGTGCTGGCCCCAGAGCGCGGCCGGAGCCCTGGTGGAGAGGCCGTGCCCCGAGTACTTCAACGGTGTCAAGTACAACACAACCCGTGAGTGCCCCGGGCCCACCGCTGTGGGCTCTGTGCTGGTCGCCCCAGCGGTTTAGTGGTCGGGGAGGGTTTTAGACCCAGCGTTGGAGACTTGGTGAGAGTCCTGGTACTTCGTCACGCCGCTGGCGTTAAGAACCCTTTATAATGTTGTGGTTGAGACCTCTCCCCCGTCCTCACCTTAGACCTCAGTAAGATAGTTGTGTGTTCTCTTGGGTTCGGCGCCGTGAGAACCAAGAAAGGAGAGACAGAAATACTTCCTCTTCTTTGGGATCAAACCTCTCTCCCATATTGTGTTGTCCCAGTGCCTGAAGTTCCACCTTTAGGAGGGTCGTCTCTTTGTTTACACAATGCCTCCCCCCAGGGGCAGGCCTACACGCTGGTTCCCCAACCCCCACGGTGAGTGCAGGATTAGATAGACACTATTACAGGAGAGGAGAGCGAGAGGAGAGAAAGATGGGGTTAGCACATTTGTTGGGGCAGGAGGGAGGTGGGTGCAGTCCATGGAAGGTAGAAGCTGCAACGCCACAGGCTATGAGGTGCCATCCCTTTCCTAACCGGATGTGATGTCCCAGAACTGGCCAGCTGGGCTGTGAGTCAGGGGCCTGTGGGCAGCATTATTCCTTGTACCCCAGGTAGTCCGTGGTGTCTGAGTCAAGGCCACCCTCTCTTCCCAGGGAGAACAGCCTGTGCCATCCCTTCTCCCATCCAAATCAGAGACTGGCTCTTTCTCTCTGGGGAAGGCAGCAGAGGTTGCTAGAGTTACCAGAACCCAACTGAAGTTGTTTCATACCAGCTCTGGTAGGAGGGACAGGGTGTGTGTGTGGTGGGGACCTGTGTCTGTGCCCTGTGGAAGGTCCATTAGAGCCAGTTGGGAGTGTCCGTGTGCTGTCAGTGTCTGTGAGGCTGTGGGCCCACCCTGACCCTCACATCTCCAGCTCAGTGCACCAATAGCAACTTCCCAGACCTAGTACAGAGGGGCCTGTGTTGTCTCAGTGTCCATGTCTGAACAGTGGCCCAGCTCCTCTTCAGTGCCATCACACACACATACACAAATGCACACACACATATGTGCATACACACGCATGCATGTAGACACACATGACTGTCCAGATTCTGGTTAGAGGGCAGCAGCACTGCTTGCATACCATGCCAAGTGATATTCCTGGCTTTGCCAGTTGAGGGCTCTGGTGGCCCAGGGAGAAGCTGTGCTCTGAGGAGTCTAAGTGCACAGGTGCTCCTAATAGAAGGGGGTCTTAATAGAAGGTGGGACCGTTGAGGAAGATTTCTGTATAATCCGAAGACATGCTTCCCATCTGTGGTTAAAACGGACTTCCCTGGGAGCAAGTGAGGTTGCAGACCGAAGAGGTATGCAGGAAGAGGGACTGACTTCATGCTGCCTCCCAGGCTGAGATATAAAACTATCTTTCTAGGATTCTGTGAGCAATATGGGGCAGTGGGGATCAGGATCCCCTGATTCAGACTGGACTGGAGACTGAGGGTCATGCAGGGAGGAGTAAGGGTGTATCTCAGCCCCCACAGCCTAAGAACCCGAGGCACTCTGCTCCCCAGTCCTGGCTTTTACTCTGACCTGGGCTGTCCCTCTGTTCTCCCTAACCAGCCTGGAGCTCCCCAAGGTCAGGGCCTGGGACGCCTCCTCTTCCTGGCTGAGCTCAGCACAGCATTTATTCAGTCAGTGTATTGAGCACCTACTTTGTGCCAGTCACTACACTGGTATTGAGCCACACACAACGCAACAGGCAAAAAAAAAAAAAAAAAAAAACATGATAAATGTCCTGATGAGAGGGAACAGGTGTCTATGGAAATGGGAGGTTATGGTGAACGCAGGTAAGCCTTCCTAATGGAGGTGCCGGAGCTCATCTTAGACCACTCACATCAAATGAGAAGCTGGAATAAATGTTGGGGCTCTACTGAGGTTGGCAAATGTAGTGCCAATTAGTCCCTGATATCTAATGAACTCATATTGCTGTGAGTCGGAATTGACTTAATGACAACAGGCTTGGTTGGTTTTGGTTTTATCTAATGAGCCACTTTCTTCATTTGGACCAAAGTGCTGCCCACACTAACTGCCGGGGAGCCGGAGGAGCATTGCAGGGTGGGAAGCATTGCCATTCACCAGTACCTGGGGCTTAGAGGGTGAGGGTGAGGGCGGACAGGAAGACATCAGCCCAGGCAGGAAGAGCAAAGGCAGCTAATGGCAATAGAAATGAAATGATTGATTTCCCTCCTCCCCTGTCTCCTGTGGCTGTTTCCTCTTTCTCTGTTTGCCTTTTTAGTGGGATATTTTCCTTTAGAAAGACAGACACAGGGAGGGAAATAACTCCCACGAGAAGCCACAGGAAGAGGAATAAGTTGAGGCTGCCCAAATTTTGTTAAAGTACTGTTAAAACCCCACTGGAGCCTCCTTCCTTCGAGGCTGGGGATTCCTCGGGTGAGAATAGCAGCTTAGACTTTAGTCCCTGCGATATTTCATCAACTCATATGAACACAGAAATGGTGGAGAATATGCTACAAAGCAACCAAGTGTTGATCATTTTCCAGGTGTCACATATTACAGAGAGAACTTTACGTATGTGATCCCTGGCATCCCCACCTCTACTGCCCCCCCCCCCCGAGATAGGTACTGTTTGTATGCCTGTATTGCAAATGAGAAAACAGAGGCTCAGGGCATGAAGTAACTTGTTAATAGATAAAATCAGCTCCTGACAGCCAGAGAAGAAGTTCCTGGGTGGTGCAAATAGTTAACCCTTATGGCTACTAACAAAAAAGTTAGAGGTTTGAGTCCACCCAGAAGTGTTTCAGAATAAAGACGTGGTGATCTACTTACAAAAAATCAGTCATTAAAAAACCTATGGATGAGTAGCAACCAGGTTATTAAAAGCTTTCAAGCGGCCATCTAAGATGCAACTATTAGTCTTCCCTCCTCTGGAGCAAAGAAGAGTGGAGAAAATCAAAGTCATATGGAAACAATTGGTCCAAGCAAGGGTATAAACCTCAACCTTCATGACCTCTAGACCAGAAGAACTAGATCGTACCTAGCTACAGTGCCAACCACTCAGAAAGGGATCAAAATTGGAGATCCTGGATAGAGTGGGAGGAAAAATATGGAAGAAAATATAAGAATTACTGGTCAGTTAGAGATTGTTGAAACCCCCAAGAGTATGGTGCCAGGTTATCCTTAGAGCCTGGAACTGGACTCACTTCCAAGGATTAGCTCTTAGCCAAACAGTAGAAAGGCTTACGAACAGAACACCTACTCCAGGGAAATGCACCCACCTACCCCAGGGAGATACACCCCTTAGATCAATCAACTGTGTGATATCAGAAGGGCAACATTGGCATAGGGGGAAAACTGGACAGACAGGAATCCATAGATAAGAAGGACACAGGGAGGAGAACTGTTTATTGTTGGGATTGTAATCAGTGCCATGAAATCAAATGTATATGAACTGTTGAGAGTAAAATGAATCTGCTTTGTAAATTTGCACCCAAATTACAATTTTAAACAAAACCTATGGAGCACAGTTCTACTCTGACAACATGGTGTTGCTAGGAGTTAGAGTCAACTTAATAACAACAGTAATGGTAGGGGCCAGAGCAAGCAGTCCACAGCCCTCACTCTCAGCCACTGGGCAATACTGCCTCCATGAGAGAAATATCCAGTTTGTAAGGAAAGCTTAGAGGGACAGAAAAAAGACTCATGCCTCCACCCTGAGCAGTCAGAGAAGACTTAGTGCTCTGAACTGGACTTTGGAGGACAGATTGAATTTTAGCAGGTGACTGGATATAGGGAAGGCATTGCAGACTGAGGGGAATGGATGAACAAAGGTGTAGAGAAGGGACTATGTGTTGTGCCTCAGGACTGGTGATTAATTTGGAGCACAGGTGTAGAAGAAAGAAACAGATGAGATCAGACTGGTAGGTGGAGACCACATAGCACAGGACATTGCAGAGGGCTTCACCTGTGGGGCAGGAGCAAGCCTGGGGAGCTGGAGAGTTGAGGAGCTGGAGGCTGGGAGGGGGCCAGAGGGAAGGGGATGGATATAAGAGAGAGAAGGCATTTGTAACTGATGGCACCTGGGTGGGAGAGGGGAAGATGAAGGATCCAAGGATTTCACTAGGTGTGTGTGGGAAAATAATGAGCAAAGTTGCGGGGGGGGGGGGTGTGTGTGTCACATTTTAGGTGCTGGAAGGACATCTGAGTGGAGATGCCCAGGAAGCAGCTGGCTATGTGAGGAAAAGCCCAGGAGAGCACCATGGGCTAGCAATGAGGCATTTTGGAGCTCTCAGGATGTATGGTTAGGTAGCAGCTGCAGGGGGAAGTTTGGAAGGCCAGGCCAGGGCTCTGATTAGACTCACCCAGGGACTGTTTCCAGATGCAGCAATGGCCAAGGGAAGGGAGAAAACTTGTCCTTGATCACACATGCTAGTCCATGGCAGAGACTATGTGTCCAATGCCTGTGTGTCCAAGTCCCCTCCAGTCCTCTCTCCATCCACCATGCTGTTGTTGTAGTGGCCTAGGTTCCAGCAGGTCTGGACATACGTTAGCTCATTTAATCCTTACAACCACCCAATAAGGGAGAGTATTATCTTCATGTTACACATGGGGAAACTATGGCACAAGGAAGTCAATTGACTTTCCCAAAGCCACGCAACTCCTAAGCAACAGAACAAGGATTCAAATCCAGGCACTGTTGCTTCCCTCTTGGTAAGCAATTCTCACTGGATTGTTCAGAAAAGGGATATTGGGGAGCTTATGGAATTATTAAGTGGACTGGAGATCCAGGTTTGGGGCTCCCAACCAATAACTGTTTTTCCCTTTTGGGGAAGATATCACACTCAAATAAAATTTTGCAGAATATAATTCAAAACTGGTTGCAGCAAAGATGGAACCAATCTACGTGTACATCAACAGAAGAATGGATAACCAAACTATGGTACATACACACAATGGAATACTATGTGACACTAAAGAATAATGT